GAGGAAGGGTATTCGACTCAGGCAGGAATCGTGACCTGCAGATTAGGTGAGGAAGGGCATCAGTCAGGCATCGCAAGGCGATGAGATACATGACCAAATACGAGCGCGCCAGAGTGCTGGGCGCGCGAGACCTGCAGACCAGGTGAGCGTAAATGAGGTTTGGGTTGCTCCCGGGTCTCTTTGGTTCGTGGCTCCCAGAGAGAAAGCGGGGAAGAATGCGTCAGACAAACTGCGCAAGACGACCAGATATATGACGAAATACGAGCGCACTCGGGTGCTGGGCGCGTAGTGCAGTGTGCGGGGTGCGGGTAGCAGGGTTTAGGCTGCGGGGTTTAGAGTGCGGGGTTCGGGTGCTGGGTTTAGGGTGTGGGGTGCGGGGTGCAAGGTGCAGGGTGCAGGGTGCAGGGTGCAGGTAGCAGGGTGCGCGGTTTAGGGTGCGGAGTTTAGGGTGCGGGGTTTAGGGTGCGGGGTTTAGTGTGCGGGGTTTAGGGTGCGGGATTTAGGGTGCGGGGTTTAGGGTGCGGGGTTTAGGGTGCAGGGTGCGGGGTGTGGGGCGCAGGGCGCGGGGCGCAGGGTGCAGGGTGCATGGTGCAGGGTGCATGGTGCATGGTCATGGTGCATGGTGCTAGATTTACGGGTCCTGCAAAGCACAGGGACCAAGACCTTGAGAGCATCGACCCAACTCCCTCCCTCTCTTGCTGCACTTGTTCCCAGCATGAATGAACGCACCTGCTGATGATTGAGTTACTTGCTCAAGTCATGCGAAATGCGCAGCACTTCATGTCCTCCGCCTCTCCCCTCCCCAACCCCCCCCACCCCTTCTCTCCCCCCCCTCCCCCCCCCGCCCCCCCATGCCCATTTTCTTGCTCGTCTTAACATGAACGCACCTGTGATGGTGGGGCGTCATGGTCACCAAGTGCAGAGCTCCTCGTTTCCTCCGCCGATCCCCCCCAACACCCCCCACAACGCCCCCCCCCCCCCCCCCCCCCGCACACCCCCCGGGTCCCCCTCCTCATGCCCATTCCCCTGCCCATTTCAACACGAACGCACCTGTGATGGTGGGGCGTCATGATCACCAAGTGCAGACCTCCTCATCCACCCCCCCCCCCCTCCCCCCGCGCCCACCCGACCCCCCCCCCGCCCACCCACCTCCCGGGCCCCGATCCTCATGCCCATTCCCCTGCCCATATCAGCATGAACGCGCCTGTGATGGTGGAGCTGCATGGGGAGACAAGTTGTGTCAATTGCAGAAACCTCAATCCCTCTCATGGTTAACCCCCCCCACCCGACTCCCGACCATTTGCATTCCTTGCCCCTTTCAGCATGAACGCGCCTGTGATGGTGGAGCTGCATGGAGAGACCGACCCTCTTGAGGTATGCCACGTGGCTTGCTTGCTTGCAGCCACACAATGTGCCTTGCTGCATGGTTGCCCATTTTGAGTTCTTCCCCGGTCCACCGTTCCCTCTGCTGTACGACACGCTCTTTTCTGTGTACTAGTTGAGTGCCATGAGTGCCATGAGTGGGCATGAGTGGCATGAGTGGCATGAGTGGCATGAGTGGCATGGCATGCGAGCTATGAAATTTCGGATGTGCTTCCAACGATGCCAGTGCATCTCTTGTGGAGCTACAGCATTCTGTTCACTGCCTGTCATGACGTGTCATGTCACGTGGGTGTGTGGCATGTGTGTGTCAGTGTCTGCCCTAACCCCGTCTCGTTATTCTCATATGTGCTGCGCTCATTTTGTGACAGATTGCCATGCGTGAGCTACGTGAGAAGAAGATTCCTTTCACCATTCGCAGATACCTGCCTGACGGAAGGTGTGTCTGGAGAACCTGCACGCTGCAGGGAGTTTCTGAGAATTCTAAAAAACTCCCTGTATGCTGTTTTTTGTTTCGCTTTGTGGATTGGCGCGGACCAGCCGTTTTCTCAATTGTATTCCGAAACAACCGTCCCCCGCCCCGCCGCTTTTTCTTTCTCTTTTATGTGCACAACTGCAGCTATGAGGACTGGGGTGTAGACGAGCTGATCATAGAAGACACGTGGCGGAGACAAGTGGGAGGTGGTAACTGAGCTGATTTTAAAATTTTAACCACAGCAATTTACATAGTGTGCACACCGGTTTTTATATCCGGTAGGTAGTTGGACGTTGTACAGGTCTCCAACAAAGACACGGTAGCTAGCATCTGGTTACAGATTATCGGTATATCATCCCTTAGCATGATGGTTGAGCATGGAAAACTCAACTTAACACTCAGATTGTCTTGCTAGCAATTGTCTGCCTACTTTCTCCTAAGCCAGATGCAGGCCACCTCTTCATATTCTCCTCAGCGTCTCACTCCAGATCCAATCACTGCAAACCCGGTGGCCTATCAGGCCAGAATACTACCAAATAACACTTTTGGGCGGACGTACCATACAAGCAAAATACAGAGTATTATTTACAAAGTACCACTGCGATAGCCAAGGCCCCTCTGCACACTGAATGCTGCCTACGATCGCCTGGCATTTCAAGGGCAGGAAGGACCATCCCATCACCAGAGAAGGGAAATCAGGGGTCAACATGGCATTCCTGTAATTGTTTCACTAGTAACTGTCTGCTTGCTTCCTCCCAAGCCAGATCCAGGCCGCCTCTTCATTTCTCCTCAGCAATCCAGGCTCTAGCTGTCACCGCACAAACCTCTTGGCCCTCCAACGCGTGGAGTGTTTCTGCTCCTTCTCACCCCTCGCATCCATCAGACTGGTGGCACAACCCCCAGAGAAAAGGACAGCAGACTAATCAATTTGGCATCCCAGAAATAGTCTCACTGGTAACAGTCTGCCTGCTTCCTCCTAGGCCAGATCCAGGCCGCCTCTTCAATTTCTCCTCAGCATCGCTCACTCCAGGCTCCAGCTCTGTAACCGCAAACCCCTTGGCCCTCAAATGCGTGGAGTACTTCTGCTCCTTCTCACCCCTCGCATCCATCAGGCTGGTGGGACCGCCTCCTGGGGTTGGTGCTGCTGACTCAGCTGCTTCACGTGTCAGGTCGTCAGTGGTGGCTGGAGAGCGATCTTCGTTGGGAGTCATGTTGGGGTTCTTAGGGTGACCTGGAGGCACACAGGGCCGTACACAAAGGGAAGGATTGAAATCCTGTGTCTATCAGAGTTACCATTTCATGAACGCCAGAGCAAGCGAGGGGGGCCAAAAGTGAGGAAAATTCGAAGGGAAGTGATTAGAGTTAACTCCGCTTCCGTACCTGCTTCAGTAGTCTCCCCTATTCCCACACCAAACAGCCGCCTACCGGCCAGTACCTGCGTGGAGGAGGGAGCACACACTAGAAAGTTGCTAGTCATTAAGCAATATGCCATCATGCGTGTCATCAAAAGCGTCGGATCTTGTAAAAAATCCTACGGTCCACACTTGTGAATCAACCACAAGCTGCAATTGTCGCGTGGATACTGAAACACAATGCTCCTTAAAAACAGCACATGCAGCGTGAAAAGCGCTCTCGAATCAAACGCACCTGGCGGCTTGGCCGCAAAATAAAGAAGACGAGGCGATTTGCAGGCAGCATTTTTCCCGTTTCACTGCAAATTGGTGTTGTAGATATGATTGACGATTGAATGACTATGTTTTCAAATCATACGTGCCCGGCTGAAATATAAAGACATGTCTTCCGAAGTAATGCCTGAAAGCACGAGAGATTCTTGGCACGCCTGAATGAACGAAACTGTCGCGTGAATATTCATGGCAACGATTCTTCACAAATCTCCGGCACCGCGATTTTTGGAACCGACAGCGGAGCTTGAAGTTGTCTCCTAAGTCTGCTTGCTGCATGCTGAAAGGTTGCTTGCGTTTTGGAAGCACGCAACTCCCAATGAGCCGCCATGGCGTGGCACTCACACCATGCATGCTGCTGGGATCGCCTGGATCCGTGGATGTGTGGGTGCTTTGCAAGAGGGCTGCGACAGCGACGCCGGGTTACCGATAATCGCACGCTTAACGAATTGAAAGGTCAAACACACGAGTCTTCTTCGCCGAAGAGATTGTTTCAAGTGCATGAAGCGGGGGCTCCTGACAGTGCTCCTTTGTTGAAGTGTCGCTTCTAAGCACCTCTGATTACTGGAAATTCATTTCCAAAAAATCCGGCAATCTACATTTTCCGTACGGAACCCATCCGGCAAGATATCATATTTTTGCCGAACCCAAATTCGTGCGTTCTTCAAACCACTGGTTTCCAGCCACCTGTCAGCTTTTGACCAGTTGATTGACATCATCATGCACAGGCGGGAAAGTCGGACGACCAGAAGAACTCCATTTCCCCATCGCAGCTTCGATAGCTGGGTGTACTGTAGCTGACGACGTCATCTGCGACCACATACACTCGCCGCGCCGACCTGTCGCAAGAACAACTTCCCCCTCACTCTGTTCCCGCTCAGCTATTCGCATCGCCAATGTCGTCAACGACGTATTCAAGTTCCAGTCGTCGTCGCCGAGGAGTTCCCTGTGGTCACCTGTGTGATTGACTCAACTTCAGGTCAAGTGTATCCGAAATTATTCCAGTTTCACTTGTTCATAGCGGTTGCATTCGGTTCGAAATCTTATTTGCTGGACTTTAAAAGATTCAAAACATTTAGGTACGGTCCTTGAAGTTGTGTTGCCAGATCAGGAACCTACCGTTCTGTCAGATTCGCTTCCCTCCCATATGTGCTCTGGTGCCAATTAGCCAGCAGAGCACAGCAGAGAGGCTGGGACTTGGCATACGAGCTCTGGCAGCGCAGTCCTGCGTTTGTTTCTGTCTGCGTCTAGCTTCATCACGCGGTTCTTGCGTAGCACGTTCGGTTTAGAGGTAAATTCGGTTTCTGCTTGCCTTCAGTTACGGTAGTTGCACGTTCGTGCTGATCTTGAATCAGGTCACAGCGACCATGGCTCGCCGCGTGTTGCTCGTAGCTTTAACCTTCGTTCTCGCATGGTGTTTCCAAACTGCGTCGGCTCGCTTCGTCGTCGAGTCGCACAGCCTCATGATCAATTCCCCAGACAAGATCCGTGGCGAGTACCTCAGCGCCATAGCTAATTTCGGCATCCCGCAGTACGGCGGCTCGCTGCAGGGCTCGGTGGTGTATCCGGCGAAATCGAACGACATGTGCAAGCCGTACAAGGGGAACGACCTTGCGACGAAGGCCGGTGGCATGCCGAATATCGTCATCGTTGACCGCGGAGGTGCGATTGGTTTTTGGTATTTGACCTATTTGGGAATATTTTCACCTTGAATTCCGCTTTGCTGGGAGTAATTTACAGATTTGTTCACGGCTGTGCTGCACATCGATTTGGTATTTCGTCCTTTTTTTTCTTTTTTTTTTTTCTTTTTTTTCTTTTTTCTTTTCATGCTTGTCGATCCATATTTTTCTTTCATATCGTTTTGAGAGTGATGCGTTGTACTTGTCTCCCGTCACATTCTTCTCGAATTTAGGCTCTACTTCACCTTTTAGGTGATACAATCTTGAAATAGCTGGAATGTCCGCCGTGATGGATGCGAACGATAAGGACGAGAATTCGCTCACCATATGACACTCCGGAGGACCTTTAGGACGAATATTCGTTCTTTACGTGTCGCTCACGTTACCCTATTCCAAAAAAAAAGTATTGACGTCAGGCTGCTACCTTACAATAAGGATGTGTTTATGGCGAATTTCCATTGCTTACGTGTCTCCCACGTCTCCTTATCCCTCAAAACCATGCCGCGACACCAGGTCTCGAGTTCACTGGAAGGTCCTTAGCACGCAGGATGCCTGCCGGTGCGGCCGTCCGCCGTGATCGGCGCGGACAACAAGGACGAGAACCTCCTCAACATGGAGACTCCCGAGGCCGTTCAACGCTAATAAGTATCCCTATTTGCCTCTCACGTAGTATCCTACGTTAGATCCTGTCACACTATGCCCCAAATCCAGGTTGTTAGTTCACGGACAAGGTGTTCAACGCGCAGGAGGCGGCGCGTCCGCCGTGATCGTCGCGGACAACAAGGACGAAAACCTCCTCAACGTGGACACTCCCGAGGTCGTTCAACGCCACCATCCCTATGCGCCTCTCCCGTACTACCCCTACCCTGTGCGTCCCTCCTGTCACTCCAGGTTGCTATTTCACGGACAAGGTGTTCAACGCGCAGGAGGCCGGGGCATCCGCCGTGATCGTCGCGGACGACAAGGACGAGAATCTCCTTACAATGGACACTCCCGAGGACGATCCCGACGCGGCGCGCATGGTCGACAAGATCACGATTCCGTCGGCGCTGGTTCAGAAATCGACGGCGGATCTGATTAAAAAGGGGCTCAAGAGCGGTCCGGTGATGGTTTCGTTGGACTGGCGGGAAGCGCTGCCGCATCCGGACGAGCGTGTCGAGTATGAATTCTGGACCAACAGCAACGACGAGTGCGGGCCGAAGTGCGACTCCCAGGCGGAGTTTCTGGACGCGTTTAAGGGCTACGCGATAATGTTAGAGCAGGGCGGGTACACGCTGTTCACGCCACACTACATCACCTGGTACTGCCCGGAGGCGTATTTGGAAAGCCGGCAGTGCAAGACGCAGTGTATTAACGCCGGGAGGTACTGCGCGCCGGATCCCGAGGAGGATTTCGACGTGGGGTATGATGGGAAGGACGTGGTGGCGGAGAATCTGAGGCAGCTGTGCGTGCACCGCGTGGCGAACGAGACGCACGGGTCGTGGCTGTGGTGGGACTATGTGACGGACTTCAAGAAGCGCTGCCGCATGGCGGACAAGACGTACGGGCCGGAATGCGCGGAGAGCATCATCACTGCGCTGGGTACGTATTTGTGGGTGCTTGCGTGTGAGTGAGACATGTACAAGAATGCGTGAATAGGTCCTGGTAGGTGCGTGTGGGTCTGGGGCGTACGCACAATACGAAAACGTGGGTATGTGTGTGTGGGTATTTGTGTGTGAGAAATTTACGCACCAAAAAAACGCGGGCATGGATTTGTGGGTGCGCGCGTGTGGGACATACACCCAAATGCATGGATAGGTCTTTGTAGGTGCGTCGGGGTGTGCGTGCACTTCTGCTTGTGCATCCTCTCACACAAGAGGCGCTGTCGCATGGCGGGTATCACGTACGTGCTAGGGTGTGCGGAGAGCACCATATGTGTCATTGTCACCACGTGTGTCATTGTCACCACGTGTCATTGTTACCGCGTGTATCATTGTCATCACGTGTATCATTGTCACCACGTGTATCATGGTCACCGCGTGTATCATCGTCACCACGTGTATCATCGTCACCACGTGTATCATCTTCACCACATGTATCATCGTCACCACATGTGTCATTGTCACCACATGTATCGTCATTACCACATGTATCATCGTCACCACATGTATCATTGTCACCACATGTATCATTGTCACCACGTGTATCATTGTCACCACGTGTGTCATTGTTGTTGTCCTTCTCTCCCTTGGCCATGGATTCCTTTCGGCGTCCTTTTCTCCTGGGGTCTGCATGACCCTTGTTCTTCGCCCCCACCGTTTCAGAAAGGACTCAAACCCCTGTACAAAGAATTCTTACAATCTCCCCTCACTCCCCGTTACCGTCCGTCCTGTGTCCCCTGATCCCGCCATTCCCCCCATCCTGCTTCCCCCTTGCACGTTCTCCCCCGATCCTGCTTCCCATCGCTCCCATGCACGTTCCGCAGGGTTAGACGTGCAGAAGGTGCGCGAGTGCATGGGCGACCCTACCAAGGACCAGGACAAATGCTTGCATGCTTGTCACCATCTCCCGTCCGCGGCTTGCTGCCCTTCACCTCTCCTGCAGGGCTCGGCGTGGCGAAGGTGCGCGAGTGCATGGGCGATCCCACCAAGGATCAGGACAACCCCGTGCTCAAGTCGGAGCAGGAGGCGCAGGTGGGTGTGTGAGGGAGGAAAGGGGGGAGGAAGTGGGATTTTTGCATTGTGGTACTGATTCGAGCATCCCACCAAGGACCAGGACAACCCCGTGCTCAAGTCGGAGCAGGAGGCGCAGGTGACACATACACGGAAGGGAGAGGTGGTTGGTGGGTGGATTGGGCAGTGTAATGAGTGGATAGAGTATAGAGCCACCCAGAGTGGCCCCACCAAGGACCAGGATAACCCCTTGCTCAAGTCGGAGCAGGAGGCGCAGGTGGGTCCGTGGGGAGGGAGGGGGAGGGAGAAGTTGTAATTGTACAGATGGGAATAAAATGACCCCACCAAGGACCAGGGTAACCTCTTGCTCAAGTCGGAGCAGGAGGCGCAGGTGAGGCGCGGGGAGTGGAGGGAAAGAGTGGGGAAAGGTGAGGAGGGTGGGGGGAGGAGAGGGGGGTGGTGTTTATGCACTGTGTCCCTGACAAGAGGGACTTGTCAGGGTCGAGGATGATGCTGTGATCAAGGTGGAGCATGAGTCGCAGGTGGGAGATGCGGGGAAGGGAATTCGTTCATCAAGTGCGAAAGGAGGAGAGTTAAAGGGACGGGTTGATTCGAGGAAAGGGATTTGAAAAACTGAAATAACAAACAAATGACAAGTCTGAGGAGGAAGGGTGGGTTAGAGACGGAACTGGGGCCCAGAGTTGTGAGAAAGAAGGGTTGCTTGGGGCCTAAGCATTACAAGATGCGAGGAAAGTAAGTCTGATTCCTGGAAACCTATTTGGGTGGGTTCGTTTGAGTATGCTGATGATTCATTGTTGCGCTGTCTGTGCAGATTGGCACAGGCGACCGTGGCGACGTCACCATCCTGCCCACCGTGATCATCAACAACAAGCAGTACCGCGGTGAGTGGGGGAGGGAGGGAGGAGGGGAGGGAGAGATATGAGTGTGCGGTGTTGAGTCAGGAACCGTGGTGGCGATGCCACTATCCTGCCCACTGCCCACTGTGATGCCCACTATCAACAACAAGCAGTATCGCGATGAGTGGGAGAACGAGGGAGGGAGGGAAGAGAGCAGAGTGTGGAGTGTGGAACAGGGAATTACAGTGGTGTTTTCACCGTCCCGCCCACTGTGATCATCAACAGCAAGCGGCACCGCAGTCGGTGGGGGGAAGGAGGAGAGAGGGAGAAAAGGGAAGGGAGGGAGGGGGAGAGAGAGAAGAGGGGAGTGAGGGAAAGAGGGCGGGAGGGGCAGAGAAAATCCAGTATGTGCAGTGCAGACTAGGAAAGTAAGCATGGTGATGTCATCACCATCTTGCCCACGGTGATTATCAGCAACTTACAGCACAGCATTGAGTGAAAAAAATCGTTTCTTTTGTAACTGTAATGTTGTTCCGCTGTGCTGTGTCTGCTGTGTGTGACTCGTCTCTCGTTCCCCCTCCATGCTATGCTGTTCCCAGCTCTCCCCCACCCTCCTCACCGCCCTCCACCTCTGTTCACTGCCGTTTTTCAAGGTAGCAAACAACGCTAGTGATTTCTCCCTATCCTACCTTACTCATCGTTACCCCTTCCCACTCCTCTCTGCTCTTCTTACCCCCCCCCCCGCTCAGGCAAGCTGGACTCAAAGGCGGTGCTGAAGGCCGTCTGCTCGGGCTTTAAGGAAACCACCGACCCTCCTGTGTGCCTTGGAGCAGGTATGGAAGCCCAGCGTTCAATTCGGGATTTTTTGGGGAGGATCTAGATAAAAAAAAGTGTTCTGGCTGATCCTCGAGCAGATAGAAAGGACAGAAATAAGTCAAGTTTTGAAGGGTTTTTTAATATCTATGTGAATTGGTTCATTTGATTTTCTTGTTTCGGATTCCTGTGGGCACTAAAAGTTCTTAACTCCCTTCCCTCCAACATCCCGTCTTCCACCATTTTTAATACAAATGCTGGTGCAGATGTGCAGACGAACGAGTGCTTGTCAAATAATGGCGGCTGCTGGCAGGGCTACAACCTCACTGCTTGCAAGGTACGATTCATGAGGCACAGATGAATGATGGCGGCTGCTGGCAGGGCTACAACCAACCTCACTGCATGCAAGGTACGATTCTTGAGGCATGTTGAAAAGTGGTGGCTGCTGGCAGGGCTACGTTGCACTTGCACATGAAAGGTTTTTGCTCTTTCCCACCCACCCACGCACCTTCTCCCATGCGCTCTGTCCGTCCGTCCCATCCCAACATGACACGCACACGCGTACACACATCCTAAGTCCCGCGCTTTATGAAGCCTGCATTGTCACCACTCGTGTGAGATGAAGCAAAACTAAATGCTTGAAGAAGCCTGCATCATGCCTCTGTGCGCCCCAACAGGACACGTTCCGAGGGCGACTTAAGGGCTCTCAAAGGTTTGAGTCAACTCAGATGTCACATACCCGCCTCTGTCCCTCCCATGCACCCCAACAGGACACGTTCCGAGGGCGACTTAAGGGCTCTCAAAGGTTTGAGTCAACTCAGATGTCACATACCCGCCTCTGTCCCTCCCATGCACCCCAACAGGACACGTTCCGAGGGCGAGTGTGCGAGTGTCCCAAAGACCCCCAGACTGGCGTGTACCTGTCGGGAGATGGCTACACCAAGTGCGAACGTAAGTGCATAGGGCGCGGTGCAAGGGATTACTGAGCTTGCAGATGTGCAGTGGGGTGAGGTGGGGTGAGGTGGGATGGGGTGGGTTTGGTGGGTTGGTAAGGTGAGATACCAGTGCCCCAAGGACCCCCAGACTGGTGTGTACCTGTCGGGCGATGGCTACACCAAGTGCGAACGTGGTGCATCGCAAGGGATTGCTGTGGGTGAACATGTGCGGTGGGGTGCGGTCGGGAGGGGTGGGTTGGGTGGGGTGGTAAGGTGGGATAGCAGTGCCCCAAGGACCCCCAGACTGGCGTGACGGCTACACCAAGGGCGAACAGGAGTGCACTGGGTGTGCTGCAAGGGACTTGTGTGGGTGCACGTAGTGTGGTGGTGGGATGCGGGTGGTTGCGGGGTTGGGGTGAAAACTTATGGGGTAGCATTGTAGCATTGTTGGCTCAGACTGCCGTGTACCTGTCACGTGATTGTTGCAACAAGTGTGAATGTGAGTGCATGTGGTTGAACGGGAATTTAGTGGTGTGGTTGCAGATAAGGGTTAGGTTGGAGGGAGAGCATGGAGCGAGGGAGCATGGGGCGAGGCAGCATGGGGCGAGAGAGCATGGGGTGAGGGAGTATGGCTTCTGGCAGTGTGCACACTGTGACCTTGTAAGCATGGGGTGAGAGCATGGGGTGAGAGATCATGCAATGAGAGAGTATGACCAAGTGCAGTTCACCACATTCCCTCTGATTTGAGGCACTAAATAAACAGAAGACTCCTGGCTGGGCGCACACAACGACCCCCTTCCCCTCTCCCCTTTCCCCCCTTCCCCCACGCCCCCATCCGTCCCCTGCAGCCACGGGGGTGGGTCGCTGTCTGGTCAACAATGGCGGCTGCTGGCAGGGGGCTGGCGATGGCCAAACCTTCACTGCCTGCCAGGTGCGTTGCTTCTAGACAGCATAACCTTCACCGGCTTCCAAATTGCCAAACGTGCCTGCCAGGTGCCAAGCGTTGCTTTTGCCTGTAAGGGAGGCACATGTCATGTCACTTGCCCGCGTCACTTGTGGCCTGGAACCGAATCTCGTCTACCTGCCTCTGCCAGGTAGGTGCAAAGCTTGTTTGCCTACCAGCTTCAGGGGAGACGGGATGGGACTTTGACGATTGCACACCTTGCACGAGTGCACAGAGTTCACAGCACCCTTGCTCACTTATCTACTCCCAACCCCGCCCTCTGCCCGCATCTCCATCCGCCATTTCACCCGAGCAGGACAGCTCATCCAGAGTGTGTGTACCCGCCGGGGTTCAGGGGAGACGGGTTCAAGTGGGAGGACATAGACGAGTGATCGGAGCACAGCACCCTTGCTCACCTCCCTTTCCCCAACCCTGCCTTCTTTCCTCATCCTTGCTTTCACATGTGCAGGAGAGCTCATCGACCCAGTGTGTGTGCCCGCCAGGCTTCAGGGGAGACGGGTTCAAGTGTGAGGACATAGACGAGTGATCCGAGCACAGGCCCCGTCCGCACCGCCCTCTCCCATTTACCTTCCCACCCCACCCTACCCCACCTCTTCCTCTCTTTTTCCACCCTTCTCCACCACTCCCCACCGAGCAGGACAGTTCATCGACCCAGTGTGTGTGCCCGCCAGGCTTCAGGGGAGATGGGTTCAAGTGTGAGGACATAGACGAGTGCTCCGAGCACAGCGCATGCAGCTGTGTGGACTGCCACTGCAAGAACACATTCGGGTCGTACGAGTGCTCGTGCTACAACGGGCTGGTGTATCTCAAGGACTCAGACACGTGCATCAGTGAGTGCTGTGCATGGTTGAGTGACCTGGTGTTGGGATGTGATGTGAATGAGTGTGAGTTGCCTACCGAGAACACGTTCGGGTCGTGCGAGTGCTCGTTCTACAACGGGCTGGTGTATCTCAAGGACTCGGATACTTGCATCAGTGAGTTGGCGTGCATGGGTGTGCACGTGGCATGCATGAGTGAGTGGCGTGCTGTTGGGATGTGAATAAGGAGTGTCATTCGTTTGTCACTGCAAGAACACCTTTGGGTCGTGCGAGTGCTCGAGCTACAACGGGCTGGTTTATTTCAAGGACTCGGACACGTGCATCAGTGAGTAACTAACTAGTTACTGCATAAACGTAGGCTGGGAACCATTGTTGTGTTTCGGTTGTGCGAGTGCTCGTGCCACAACGGGCTGGTCTACCTCAAGGTCTCGGACACGTGCATCAGTGAGTAACTTACTAGTTGCTGCATAAACGTGTGTCTGGCTCATCAGTGTGTTTTACTTAGGATTTCCACCTGCAGACGAGGGCGGCGTGCCCACCACGCAGCTGTGAGTCTATTTGAGTCGACTCATAGTATCCCCTCTTTTCTCGTCCCTCCCTCCCCCATTCCCTGCCTGACTACGCCCCTCGCCACCTGCAGGCAAGGAGGGAGGCACACCGCCCACGCGGCTGTGGGGAATGGTGGCGGGCATTGTGCTGGGCTCACTCGTGGTTGTGGCCATCGTGGCTTATGTCGTGTACAAGTACCGCCTCAGGGTGAGTGGAGTCCCTTCAGGGTGAGTTGAGGCTCTTGAGTCGACTCCATTGTGCTGGGCTCACTGGTCGCTGTGGCCATCGTGGCTTATATCGTGTACAAGTACCGCCTCAGGGTGAGTGGAGACTCAGGGTGTGGGTGAGTGGACAGTCAGGGTGAGTGGAGGGGGTCAGGGTGAGTGGAGGGTTCTGCGAGTGCTTAGTTTATTTCGTCTGTGCCGCGCTATATATGCAGCCAAGAACGTACCACATTTGGCACACAGCACACCAGCACGCCAGCGCACTTTTGAGTCGACTCAAAAGTTAAGAACGCACCACATTTGGATTGGCACACAGCACTCCAGCACACCAGCGCACTGAACAATGCACTGCACAACACACACCAGCCAAACCCCGTTGCACATGCGCACAGCAACACAGGCACCACCTGTGCAGGGCTGCCTCTCCGCATTTCAAACAGACAGGCCTTGTCGCATTTCTTCCTCCCTCCTCCACCAGTCATACATGGGACTCGAAGATCCGGGCCATTATGGCACAGTACATGCCGCTGGACAGGAGATTTACGACTTGAATACCTTGTTTCAACTCCCCCCAACCCCAAACCCCCCCATCCCATCGCCCTCCTCGATTGCTAGTCGATTCTTTAGTTGGGTAAAAAATCGACTCATCACATGCCAGTCATACATGGACTCAGAGATCAGGGCCATCATGCCGCAGTGCATGCCTCTGAACAGGTGGATCAGATAATCCTTGCGTTTTTCATCAATCTTCTCGCCAACCCCCCCTCTCCCCTCTCCCTCTTCCCCGCCCACCCCACCTTAACCCGTCTCTCCTCCACCAGTCATACATGGACTCGGAGATCCGGGCCATCATGGCGCAGTACATGCCGCTGGACAGTCAGAACGACCAGCAGGTGGCACGGCAGCCCATGCTCAACAACGATGACGAGTTCTCCGCGTAACGCTTGTCTTCAATTTGCTACTTTAGAAAACAGGTTACACTGTGATTAAGGTTGTTGACAGGGCGAGCTGCTGCTGAGGTAGTGGCCATGGTTTCGTACAGAAAATTCTAGGTTTTGTGATGCAGTGTGCAGTGATGGGTGGATACAGTAGGTGTGTCGTCTTTCATACATAGCAATGCACTGTGAGGTGCTCACTCACAGCACCTCCATTACCGTAGCGCTCGTCTACAGCTGGTTGACTTGCTTGGGTGGTTACTTGCGTATGGTTGTGATTTGTAGCGTTTGCTCTATCAAAAAACGTTCTAGTGTAGTTACAGCATGCTTAAGAGCCCAGCTCAAAAGCGTGATATACAGTGTGCGCTGACATGACAACTCACACCCATTACCTTTCTCGAATACAGCACATTGGCGAGGGCACCAATGCAGCGGAAGACAACGCACTCACGTGTCCAGCGTAAATCCCGCGAAGGCTGCATAGCTTAGCGCGCTCCGCGTCGGAGACTGTCTCGAGCTGTGTGAAGGTCAGGCGAAATTTGGTTCGAGAATTGAGATGCTCGAGCGCCATGCACATCGATCTGCCGAGCATGGGGGTTATCGCCACGCCACAAGGATGGGTAACAATGCGATCGCCCATGCCCTCGCCATGCCTACACCGTGCCCCTCGCCCTCGGCACAGGGTCATGGCTGATGGCATGGCTGTTCCAGTCCCCGCTGCCGCGTCCGCGCATACCTGTATCGCTCTGTCACGCGTTCATTCGTCGTGCTGCTGCGCTGGCGCAGAGGAATGCTGTGCTGGAGTTGTAGTGAGATGACGTCTGCGCGTTATTCATGCGCTTTTGAAGGGCCACGCATACGTACGTCGCCGCATCATCACATCATCCAACTGCGACTCGATTCTTGTTTGTGCGGACGCCTCAAATGCTCAATTTCCGCATCCCGTGGCGCGAATTCCCTTCAGCAGGCCGCTGCTGCTCGTCTCGTCTCCCCTCGTCTCGTCTTTCTTCTCTGAGATGGTATCCACCTGTGTGCGGTGTCCCTTCTGTCGTTTCTTGTTCGCGAGTCCGAATCGCGTTTGAGCGTTTCGGTTCGAGAAGAGGAAAGAGGGTTGCAGCCAGGGCGGTACGATCGACGCACGCGTTCTTGAGGTAATTCCTTCCAGAGCGACATACGAGCTGGTAGAGCGAATCACTCTTGGATGCTCGAAGCTCTTCCAAGCTCTATGCACCAAGCTTTTCAGTTGGGTTTCTTCCTGGTCGTAGAAACGACGATCCCTTTCCGCTTTTCGTTCGTGCTTCGTTAAAGCGGTGCCATCATCTCGTGCGTCGGCCGGCTTCTCGCTTAGAGAGAGCCATTCTACTATCCCCCTGTTCTCGCCGTTCTTGAGCACCTGTAGGCGCAAAGGCAAGTTCGCGGGCTCCGTGCGCGACATTATTTGATCCAGTAAGTGCAGCAGTATGGCGGCGGAGGTTGGCCGCGCGGGGGGCGCTCCTGGCGGCGGAACTGGGGAGGCTCCGGCGGAGCGGGAGAGGGCGCTGATTCATGTGGCGGCGCCGCCCGCGAGTCTCAAGGAGAAAATCGAGGAGTGGTGGGAGCAGATTGGGCGCGAGCAGCACCAGGCGCGGCGGGAGGGGAAGTGGGGCGGAGGGGAGAGGGCGGCGGAAGGGGGAAGGGCGGAAGCGGGAAGGGCGGAAGGGGGAAGGGCGGAAGGTGAGGCGGAGAGGGAGAGGGCGCGGAGGGTGACTGCAGACGAGGTGACTGAAAAGAAGCTGGTTGCCGTGAGCCAGGTGCTGGCGCTGCTGCCGATTTCGCTCTTCCCTAAAGTCACATCGGGTATGAGCCACCTTCTAAACTGCCGTTGTTTTAAGTCTGCTGGTTCTGTCCTCTGAGCCAACCATTCCCCCCCTCTTCCTCTCCTCCCCCACTCTTCCTCTCCTCCCCCACTTTCTTGCTGACCCCATCCTCCTCCAGAATTGGGTGCATGATGTGACTTTTTTTTTTTTTTTTTTTTTGGCCCAACACGACTCTGTACGATGCCAGCAAGCTGCTCTCATAATTTTCCTTTCCTCCCGTCTCCCCTCCTCCAACCCCCCCCCCTCCTCCTTCCCCCTGCCCCCTCCTCCCCCCCCCCACCCCAGTGCACGAGGTGACGGCCAACACGACACTGTACGATGCCATCAAGCTGCTGTCTCGCCACAACCTCACCACTGTACCCGTTAGAAGCATTGCTGGAGAGGCTGCAGGGCGGGCCCGGAGCAGGGGCGGGGCAACTGACGTTGAAATGACTGAATCAGAGCAACAAGAGGGAGGGGAGGGAGAAGGAGCAACGGGGGTGGTGGAAGAGCCAGCAGAGGGAGGAGGGGAGATGGAGGAGGAGGAAACATTGGAGGAGGTGGAGGTGGAGGAGTGGGAGCCTCAGTACTTGGGCATGATGGATTTGGCAGGCGCGGTTATCCTCTGGGTCTTTGCCAATGTGAGTGTGCCCATGTATTGGAGTTGCGTTTGCTAATTCTCTGAAGCAATGAACGCAGTAGTTGATCTCCTGCCCTCCTGCCGTCCTGCCCTCCTGCCGTCCTGCCGTCCTGCCCTCCTGCCGTCCTGCCCTCCTGCCGTCCTGCCGTCTTGCCTTCCCGTCCCTTGCAGCTCGAAGCATCTTCGATCGGCTACGCCACGGCGTCGACCCTCGCTGCCTCCCTTGTCGGCTCCTTCGTCGCAGCAGCCGGGACAGCCGCGCTCGGAGCTTCGGCCGGACCTGTGTCAGCCGCGGCAGCCGCCGGAGCTGCAGCCTCGGGAGCCCTGGGCGCCCAGGCCTCCACTGGGGAAGGAGCACCTGGGGAATCAGCAGGAGCCATGGCTTCATCCCCTCGCACCGGCCGGTTCTTTTTCGAGGAGCTTCTCAAGAATGAGGCGTTCCACACCACGCGGGTTGCGGATCTAGCCGGATCGTTCCGCTGGTCACCGTTTGTGTATCTCAAGCCGTCCGACACGCTTCTCACGCTCTTCCTCCTCATGTCCAAGTATGCTATCCATCCCACTCCTCTTTCATAGCCTCTTGCTATCCACTCCTCTTGCTGCTTGTCTCTTGTCTTCCCACTCCAATAGCGCTCCTCACGCTCTTCCTTCCTCCTCAGGTCCAAGTGTGATATCCACTCCTTTGCCTCCGATGTTGCTTCTCACCTCAGAATTGAACCCAATTGTGCTTCTCTCTCCATTTCCCCTCTTTTTCAAAGATTTAGGCGCCTCTAGAAACGTCACAAAAAGCGTGTCAAAAATGTGGCTCCGCTCTACTTTATCTCACTCATTTCCCTCGTGCCCAGGTATGCCATCCGCTCCGTGCCAGTGCTGCCGCCCGGCCCCGAGTCGGCAATCTCGACGGTGATCACGCAGTCTGCTGCGGTGGCCTTCCTGTGCGAGTGTGACGGCATGCCGTGGTTTAATTCGATCGCAGATCGCACTCTGGCTGAGCTGGGGCTGCCTCTAATGCAGCCAGAAGAGCTTGTCAAGGTACTGTGCGGTTCAAAGGTTGTTTTTCAGGGTGATACGTGGTTGAGAGGTCATGTGAACGGAGCATGAGTCAGCGATATCGACGGTGATCACGCAGTCTGCAGCAGTGGCCTTCCTGTGCGAGTGTAGCGGCATGCCTTGGTTTAATTCGATCGCTGATTGCTCGCTGGCTGAGCTGGGGCTGCCCCTGATGCAACCTGGAGAACTTGTCAAGGTACTGTGCGGTTGAAGTGAATCCCTGGGAGTAACGCGTGGTTTAGAATCGCATGTTTGAGAGAAGCATGGTCTTCCTGTGCTTATGTGACGGCATGCCGTGATTCAGTTCTATAGCTGACTGCTCTCTGACTGCTCTCTGGCTGCTCTCTGGCTGCTCTCTGGCTGCTCTCTGGCTGCTCTCTGGCTGCGCTCGGGCTGCCACTCATGTGACCTGAGGAGCTTGTCAGGCTACTGTGAGGTTAGGACGAGTTACCTGTTGGATCCAGGTTTTTTTGAGAAATCTCAAAGAAACCCTACAGCATGTTGGATCCAGGTCGAAACCATTTCCCTATGCGACCTGAGGAGCTTGTCAGGCTAGTCTGCGGTGCTGGCATGGAACCACTCAGTGCCAGTGCGATTGTAGCTGCATGTGTGGCGCCTCTCTCTCTCTCTCCCCCTGTCCAGCTAAACTTACGACCGCCCGCCTCTCTTCCTTTACTCTATGCCTCGTTGCGCTTTCCTTTTGAGTCGACTTAAAAGCTGCCTCGTTGCGATTTCTTTGTCCTATTCCAGGTGGAAGATGATGCAGCAGTGACAGAGCCCTTTCGGCTGATGATGGAGCACGACATAGGAGGGGTGCCCGTGGTGGCCAAGGGAAGCAACCGCCTCATCGCCAACATCAGTGCGCGGGACATTCTGCACCTCGTGGGTTCACCCGAGATTTTCAAGCGGCGCCAGGAGCAGTGAGTGGGGCGTAGGGGTCAATGTGTTGTGCACGGGCAGTGGGTGTAGGCAGTGGGTAAAGTGGATCTTTGGCTGCTTCGAAAACCTCTCAGCAGCCTCGTTGCCAACATCAGTGCGGCAACATTCTGCACCTCGTGGGCTCGCCAGAGATCTTCAAGCACAGCCAGGAGCAGTGAGTGGCACTTAAGTGGCACTCTAGGGGCACCTGGGGCAATGTGTTGTGAACGGCACTTGGTAAAGTGGGTCACTTCCTGAAACCCCCTACCTCCCTTGTTGCCGACATCAGTGCGAGAGTCATTCTGCACCATGTGGGCCCTCCAGAGATATTGAATCGGCGCTAAAGGCAGTGGCCTCATACTTGTAAACGTGTCAGGATGGCCGAGTTGGTCTAAGGCGCCAGTTTCAGGTACTGGTCCGAAAGGGCGTGGGTTCAAATCCCACTCCTGACATAGTTGCCCACAGGTTTTTCTGGTCTTTTTTAGCTTTCTGTCTCCTGCCTTTCAGCACCAACAGCACCACCATACTCATCTCTCTGCGTTCTCAACAATTGCAGGGTGAGTGCAGAATTGACATGCCTGAGATGTATGGGATGTGAATCTATTGTGGGGATCTTCAAAGGGCCTTGGGAGCAGTGAGTTTCTTAAAGCCCAGAGTGCATTGGGTCTTCAGCACCTTCTGAAGACTTAACTGCATCGTGTGCCAACATCAGGGCGCGGGACAATCTTGCACCTCTTTTTGGGCGCCTCAAAAGACATGAGTGCGCGCGACAATCTGCACCGCGCGGGCTCACCAGAGATCGTCAAACGCCGCCAGGAGCAGTGAGTGGGGTATTCGAGGTACTGGTGTTAAGCGCATACACCATGTGCCAACATCAGTGCGCGCGACGTTCTGCACCTCATGGGCTCGCCAGAATTTTTCAAAGGCCGAGCAGTGAGTCGCACATCACAGCAGCCAACGAGCCCATCTCATCAGCTACAGAAGTGATCTGGCCGGTCATGACACCCCCCCATCATCACCTGCTCGCTCGCTCAGCCATTCCCCCCTTTTCCGCCACAGAAGTGATCTGGCCGGTCATGACACTCCCCCATCACCAGCTTACCTACCCAGTGCGGGACTTTATAGCACCGGCGAATGAACCTATCTCATCCGTTACAGAAGTCATCTGGCCGGTCGGTCTTGATGCTCCCAATCACCTGCTTGCCCTCCCATGAACTTTTCTTCCCATTTCCCCCGTTACCAGGTCCTTCACAGTTCGGGATTTTATAACAGCAGCCAATGAACCAATCTCATCAGCAACAGAAGTGATCTGGCTGGTCATGACGCCACCCATCACCTGCTCGCCCACCACGCCTCTGCGCAACGTGCTCCATGCTCTCAACCGCACCCACATTCACCGCACCGCACCTACGTCACCTCCTCGCCTCCTCCCCTTCCCCCCTTCCTCGTTCTCCCCTTCCTCGTTCCCCCCTTCCTCGTTCCCCCCTTCCTCGTTCCCCCCTTCCTCGTTCCCCCCTTCCTCGTTCCCCCCTTCCTCGTTCCCCCCTTCCTCGTTTCCCCCTTCCTCGTTCCCCCCTTCCTCGTTCCCCCCTTCCTCGTTCCCCCTTCCTCGTTCCCCCCTTCCTCGTTCCCCCCTTCCTCGTTCTCCCCTTCCTCGTTCCCCCTTCCTCGTTCCCCCCTTCCTCGTTCCCCCCTTCCTCGTTCCCCCCTTCCTCGTTCCCCCCTTCCTCGTTCCCCCCTTCCTCGTTCCCCCCTTCCTCGTTTCCCCCTTCCTCGTTCCCCCCTTCCTCGTTCCCCCCTTCCTCGTTCCCCCCTTCCTCGTTCCCCCCTTCCTCGTTCCCCCCTTCCCCGTTCCCCCCTTCCCCGTTCCCATCCGTTACAGAAGTCATCTGGCCGGTCTGTCTTGATGCTCCCAATCACCTGCTCGCCCTCCCATGAACTTTTCTTCCCATTTCCCCCGTTACCAGGTCCTTCACAGTTTGGGATTTTATAACAGCAGCCAATGAACCAATCTCATCAGCAACAGAAGTGATCTGGCTGGTCATGACGCCACCCATCACCTGCTCGCCCACCACGCCTCTGCGCAACGTGCTCCATGCTCTCAACCGCACCCACATTCACCGCACCGCACCTACGTCACCTCCTCGCCTCCTCCCCTTCCCCCCTTCCTCGTTCTCCCCTTCCTCGTTCCCCCCTTCCTCGTTCCCCCCTTCCTCGTTCCCCCCTTCCTCGTTCCCCCCTTCCTCGTTCCCCCCTTCCTCGTTCCCCCTTCCTCGTTCCCCCCTTCCTCGTTCCCCCCTTCCTCGTTCCCCCCTTCCTCGTTCCCCCCTTCCTCGTTCCCCCCTTCCTCGTTCCCCCCTTCCTCGTTCTCCCCTTCCTCGTTCCCCCCTTCCTCGTTCCCCCCTTCCTCGTTCCCCCCTTCCTCGTTCCCCCCTTCCTCGTTCCCCCCTTCCTCGTTCCCCCCTTCCTCGTTTCCCCCTTCCTCGTTCCCCCCTTCCTCGTTCCCCCCTTCCTCGTTCCCCCCTTCCTCGTTCCCCCCTTCCCCGTTCCCCCCTTCCCCGTTCCCATCCGTTACAGAAGTCATCTGGCCGGTCTGTCTTGATGCTCCCAATCACCTGCTCGCCCTCCCATGAACTTTTCTTCCCATTTCCCCCGTTACCAGGTCCTTCACAGTTTGGGATTTTATAACAGCAGCCAATGAACCAATCTCATCAGCAACAGAAGTGATCTGGCTGGTCATGACGCCACCCATCACCTGCTCGCCCACCACGCCTCTGCGCAACGTGCTCCATGCTCTCAACCGCACCCACATTCACCGCACCGCACCTACGTCACCTCCTCGCCTCCTCCCCTTCCCCCCTTCCTCGTTCTCCCCTTCCTCGTTCCCCCCTTCCTCGTTCCCCCCATCCTCGTTCCCCCCTTCCTCGTTCCCCCCTTCCTCGTTCCCCCCTTCCTCGTTCCCCCCTTCCTCGTTCCCCCCTTCCTCGTTCCCCCCTTCCTCGTTCCCCCCTTCCCCGTTCCCCCCTTCCCCGTTCCCCTCTTCCCCATTCCCCCCTTCCCCGTTCCCCCTTTCCCCGTTCCCCCCTTCCTCGTTCCCCTCTTCCTCGTTCCCCCCTTCCTCGTTCCCCCCTTCCTCGTTCCCCCCTTCCTCGTTCCCCCCTTCCCCGTTCTCCCCTTTTCCATGCTCTTCTTTTCCTCTGCAGGTCGTTCACTGTGCGAGACTTCATAGCAGCAGCAAACGAGCCTATCTCATCAGCCACGGAGGTCATCTGGCCGGTCATGACCCCCCCCATCACCTGTTCCCCCGCCACGCCTCTCCGCAACGTGCTCCATGCTCTCAACCGCACCCATATTCATCGCATCTATGTCACCTCCTCACCTGCTTCTGCTTCTACGAGCGCTGCTGCTGCTGCTGCACCTGCTGCTGATGTGGCTGGTGGTGCTGGTCCTGCTGGTGCTGCTGGTGCTGCTGGGGGTGCTGGTGCTGCTGGGGGTGCTGGTGCTGCTGGTGGTGCTGGTGCTGCTGGGGGTGCTGGTGCTGCTGGGGGTGCTGGTGCTGCTGGGGGTGCTGGTGCTGCTGGGGGTGCTGGTGCTGCTGGGGGTGCTGGTGCTGCTGGGGGTGCTGGTGCTGCTGGGGATGCTGGTGCTGCTGGTGCTGTTAGCGCTGGGCAGCAGGAGGTGGTAGGGGTGGTGACTCTGCGAGATATCATTGGCAAGTTTGCTGCCGTGCCGGCCGACGTTGCCCTGGCTGCTGGTGCTGACGTGGGTGGGGAGGAATGATGAGTGGTGGTGAGGAGTGAGGAGGGGTGGAGAGGTTGAGAAGTGGAGGGCAGCAGGAGGTGATGGGGGTGAGAAGGAGGGGGGCAGCAGGAGGTGGTAGGGGTGGTGACTCTGCGGGATATCATTGGCAAGTTCGCTGCTGTGCTGGCCGACGTTGCCCTTGCTGTTGGTGCTGACGTGGGCAGGGGTGGGGAGAAGTGAGGAGATGTGTTCAGGGGGGGAAGGAGTTCGGAGGGGTGGAGAGGTCGAGAAGCGAGGGGCAGCAGGAGGTGATGGGGTTGGTGACTTTGCTGGACGACATCATTGGATAGTGGAAAGCTTCAGGAGTGGAGGCAGTGGGCAGAGCATCTGGTGTAGCTCATGTTGCACTGCTCTTGCAATGTGAATGGGAGAATCTGATGTATATTGTAAAGATGGAAGGAGAATCGGGAAGGATACTGTACTGAGATTCACTTGTACATAGTCACACTGGGTGTAAATTGAGTGCACATGGTAATTGAGGTTTTGTTGTGATTATATCCAGTCTTCTGCTTGCCACACTGGTGATATGCCCTTCAAGCCGTCGGCCAAAATTGCATAAGTTTAAAAAAGGTGACGAGAGGGAATTTTACTGGTTTGGATTTCGGCGACTGTTTCCAATCTCGTTAATTTTTTTTTTTTTCGCCAGACCTAGCCAGCCCCGCGTTTTTACCCTGGTGGTTGTGTCAGACTTCTAAAGTCCCAAATTGTAGCAGCGGTACTTTTCAAAGCTTGCACATGGTGGGCAATTTGGGCCGTGGGTTTTAATACCAGTTAATTTGGTTCAACTCCACCAGAGAGGGAAGAGGTTCGTGCTACCACGACCTTATGGAGGTGTCTTGTTATGAGTTGTAAAAGAGAGTGCGCAGGTAAACGAATAACGAGACTGTGACTGAATGAACTGAGAATACAATGAATGCACAGACTAATGTAGGGCTAGCCTAGCTAGGAGGAAACCTCGGAAGACGAGGTTGGGTGCAAGTTTGGCGATGGAAATGCCGAAGGCGACGCGAGGAGCCTCGGCAGCGTTGAAATCGGCCGAACGTGCGAACTCCGAAAATCCGGTTGTGCGCGAAGCAGTCAACCCCGATAAGGAATTTTGGAAAATTTCTTACACTACCCCCCCCCCCCCCCCCCCCCCCCCTTTTAAGATGGCACCCACGTGTCGTCTTCACCGGTGCGGTCAGTCCAGCGGATTAAGAAATCCACGTGTCAGCCAGCTGCGTCAAGGTGGACCCGATGAGCCAGGATTTTCGAAGGGTTAAGGGTCGGCTCAGGAACAGGTCGTTCTGTCGGGGAAGCTTGCTGACGGGCGATGTCGGTCGTGGCTGGCACGAACTTGCGAAGAAGGCTGACGTGGAAGGCGTCATGAATTCGCCAGTCGTCGGGTAGCAACAGCTTCGCGGTGACAGGTGTCTCCATCTTTATAATCTTGAACGGCCCACAAAAACGTGGCCGTAGTTTCGACGGGCCGGGCAGGTGCATGTTCTTCGTGTCAAGGAGCACTAATTGCCCAGTGGTCAAGACGAGTTCCCGGCGTAGAAGATCTGCGTATTTGCGGGAAGTGGTATTCGCCTTGCGAATTGCGTCGGCGGCTTTTTCTCGGGTTTCCTGGAGTTCCATCACAAAAGTTTGTGACCTTGGGACTGGGTTGTCGAGAGAAGTTGCGGTAGGAACCGTCGGGTCCATCCCGTAATTCAGGAAAAACGGGGAGTGATTAGTCGTGCTGGACGGCGCGTTGTTGAAGGCAAACTCCAACATTGCGAGTGAATCCTCCCAGCGGGCCGGGTCGGGGCAGTTTGTCCTGATCAGCTGCTCCATGGTCTGATTGGTCCGCTCTGTTTGACCGTCCGTCTGTGGGTGATATGCCGTTGAGAACTGTAGCTTCGTGCCGTACTGCGCCCACGTCTCCTTCCAGAACTTGGATGTGAATCGCGGGTCTCGGTCGCTGATGATCGCCGAGGGGATGCCGTGCAGTCGCACGACCGTGGAAATGAAAAGTCGCGCAGTTTCTTCGGCTGTAATTGTCGTTCGGCATGGTGCGAAGTGCGCCATTTTCGTGAAGCGATCGACGACGACGAGAACAGCGTCGTTGCCGGACGGCCCAGCTGGCATCCGCGTGACGAAATCCATCGTCACTTGCTGCCACGGTCGTTCGGGTGGCTCGAGGGGTTGCAGCAGCCCAGCTGGTCGTTGACGTGTCGATTTCATAGCTTGGCACACCCTGCATGACGACACATATCGCTGCACGTCGTTAGAGGAGTCAGGCCAATAATATTGACGGTGCAGTAATTTCTGGGTTTTATCAACCCCGAAGTGTCCGGAGAAATTCTAATCGTGAACCTCCTGGATGAGAAGTTCACGCAGCAGCCGGTAAGCGGAAACCCAAATCCGGTCGGTTCCGGCTTTTAGGTAATAATCACTTTTCTGCGTCGTGGCCTGCTGGTGATTCCCGGTCGTGAAGAATGGGTCCGTGGTGTAGCCGTGGGTGAATAGTCCTGTAAGTAGCGGGTTCGAATGGGTGATGAGTACTGCAGCGGATTGTACTGTCGGTCGGGTCAGGGCGTCGGCGATGTTATTTGCCCCTTTCTTGTACGTGATGTGGTAGGTGAAGTGGCTCTCCATGTAATCCAGCCACCTAATGTGTCGTGGGTTGAGGTTGGGTTGAGAAAACTGAAACGAGAATGGGTCCACTAAGGAATGGAATGTGGTACAAATATGCAACCCTAGAAATGTGTAACCCATATAGGCTACCCCACTACAGCCTACAGAACATTATGATTTGACACACCCCCATAGGCAAAGTGGGGGAGAACAAGGGGTTACAAGACCAGTCAAGCAAAACAAAGCAAAGCTCAGGGTGGATCACAAAGTCACCACACATTCCGAGCACAAATTCAAGGCCAGAAGGCCAGTTCACATGCAGGAGCACATACATATATAAAAGGCTAAACAAGCAATAGCAGGAGTATATATATGTGACAGTACAAGCAAGGTCAAGAAGTGAGCAAGTGAGGCAAGGCAGGCACAAGACCAAGCTGAGTACAGAAGCGCTGATGATCACAAGGCGCAAGTGCCTTAGTGAAGATATCAGCAGTGTTGGCCTCAAAGGCCACGTACGCAAGTCGCAACTGACCACGCTGCTGCAGCTCACGAGCAAGAAAGTAGCGGAGAGCAATGTGCTTCGTTCTGTGCTCCACGCGCTGCTCTCGACACAAGGCCAACATGGCCTTGTTGTCTACGTACAGCACTGGAGGAGAACGAGGCGGCTCTCCGAGGTCAATCAGCAGGTAGGTGAGCCAGCGAAGCTCCTGAGCAGCCATGGCTCCTGCGTAGATCTCAGCCTCACAACTGGAGCCGAGAATGGAAGACGGGCGAGTAGCCCGCCACAAAACAGAGCCGGAACCAAGGCTGAAGTTGTAACCCTGTGACGACCGCTGTGTAGCCTGGTCGTCAGCCCAAGAAGCGTCTGCGTGCCCAGTGAGGACCACTAGACTCTGCCCTCCAAGCACTAGCCCCATGCTCGACGTACTGCACAAGTAGCGCAACACCCTCTTCGCTGCAGCCATGTGCACCGGTCTTTGTCTCCCAGGAGCAACATAGCGTGCAAGATTGCTAAGAGGGTATGCAAGGTCAGGTCGTGTGCAGGTCATCAGATACATGAAGCAGCCAACAAGCTCTGGGTACGGGCCACTCGACTCTACGGACTCATCCGAAGGCAGAGCTGAGAGCGAGTGGCGAGTAGGCAGAGGAGTGGCCTGAGGCGAGGAGTACGTGAAGTCGAAGCGCTGAAGGACCTGCTGCACCATGTGTGACTGAGTCAGGGTAATGGTGCGCCGTGCTCTGTCCCGGGTGATCTGCAAGCCAAGGTAGCTGCGCAGTTCACCCAGGTCTGTGCACGTGTGTCTCTTCTGCAGCTCGGACTTCACGTGGGCGAGTCCAGCAGTGGCAAAGACCAAGTCGTCGACGTACACGAGGATGTAGAACGACGGCAGCAAAGTGTCGGTGCACAGAAACAGCGACGGGTCGGCAGTAGAGGGAGCAAACCCAAGAGCCGCAAGCGTAGTCCTCAGTGTGTCGTGCCACTCACGCGGTGCCTGGCGGAGACCGTAGACTGGCCGCCGGAGGCTCCACTGGGCGCCAGGAGGAAAAGTCCCAGTGAAGCCAGGTGGGCGGCGCAGCTAGATCTCCTCGTGCAGGCTACCCTGCAAGAAAGCAGTGCTGAAGTCAAGAGAGTGAAGCTCGTAGTCGCGCTGAGCGGCTATGTGCAGCAGCACCCGAAGAGTGGTCATCTTCGGTGTGGGAGAGAAGGTCTGAAACTAGTCAACTCCCTGCCGCTGACTGAAGCCACGAGCCACGTACCGCGCCTTGAAGATAGGTGGAGAACCTGGCGGCCCCTTCACCTTGAAGATCCACATGCCACTGACGATGTTCGCCCCAGGTGGGGGAACCGTGTCAACGTAGGTGCCTGTGGACTTCCAGGAAGCCATCTCTGCATCCATAGCTGCCTGCCACAGAGAGGAGTAGGGACCCTCTACGGCCTCCGAGTAAGAGCGCGGAGTCGGGATGTCAAGTGCATCCGGGTCTCCCTCAAGGGTAAGCAGTACGGACACGAGATGAGGTGAAGCAGCAGCCAGACACTGGAACTCCTCCTGCCTGTCCTCAAGGACGTCCGTGCCAAGAGCACACTCACCCCAGACGGACGGAGGACAGACAGACGCAGACTCAGCAAAAAGACTAGCAGCATAGTCTAGACGACAGCGAGCAGCAAAGTCGACGAGCTCAGCAACTAAAGCAGACGCAGAAGTGGACTCAAACGAGGGATCAGTGACGACAGTAGCAAGGAGACGCGTGACAGTAGGACTGGCAGCACGAAGAGAGTCCGACTCCGGGTCGGCAAGGGCAGGAAGAGAGGACGCAAGAGGAGAAGGCAAAGAGACACGCAGAGGAGCAGTGGACGGACGCAGAGACATCCGGTGCGT